AAATTACGTGATACTATTTTCTTGGAATTGTTATAAATATTGTTAATTTTACAGATGATATATGTCTTGATATGTATATTTTTGACACGTCAGAAAATACAAAAATAGATCACTGTTTGTACAGTTAGAATCATTGATTAGTTTGGGAGTTAACGTGAGTGACATTAGGCCTATTGAAAATTTGGATATAATTTGTTTATTTTGATATCTATAACAAATTGCTTTGGGTATAGTGTTCTTTATGGTCTAATACAACATCTGTATAGTGGAGATGTAACAAAGATGACTGGTTCTTTTATATCTTATCAGGGGTGGCAGTAGTCACATAGTGAACCATGTGAGTCTAAGGACCTACATGAAAATTGACACTATTTATTTATTTCGATTTCTATAACAAATTGCTTTAGTTATAGTGTTCCTTGTGGTCTAATACAACACCTGTGTAGTGGACATATAACAAAGATAACTTGTTCTTTTATATCTTATCAGGGGTAGCAATAGTCATATGCAGAACCATGTGAGTCGAAGGACCTACATGGAAATTAGCTCTATTTGTTTATTTTGATATCTACAACAAATTGCTTTAGTTATAGTGTTCCTTGTGGTCTAATACAACACTTGTACAGTGGACATGTGACAAAGATGAATGGTTCCTTTATATTTTGTCAGGGGTGGCAATAGTCACATACTGAACCATGTGAATCTAAGGACCTACCTAAAAATTGGCACTATTTATTTATTTTGATATCTATAACAAATTGCTTTAGTTTTAGTGTTCCTTGTGGTCTAATACAACACTTGTACAGTGGACATGTGACAAAGATGAATGGTTCCTTTATATCTTATCAGGGGTGGCAGTAGTCACATACTGAACCATGTGAATCTAAGGACCTACCTAAAAATTGGCACTATTTCTTTATTTCGATTTCCATAACAAATTGCTTTACATATAATACTCTTCGAGTCCTAATATATCACCTGCATAATCACCACATAACAGAAGTAAGTGGTTCCTCTAAATCTATTCGAGGCTAGCAATAACCATGGATGGTTACGAAGCCTTTGACAAGAGACCCACATGAATAACAAATTACCTTAGTTACAGTATTCCACAAACTCTAATATGTCACTAGTGTCGACACAGATGCTTTTATATCATCAAGCATCATCTATGAGGCAATCCCACTTAAAAATTATCATCATTTATTTATTTCAATTCTCACAACAAATTTCTTTCCGTATACCATTCCTCAGGGTCTAACATATCCCCTCGCATAACGAAGATGAATGGTTCCTTTATACGTTATCAAGCACAACAGCACTCATCCACGAAGAATCAGATGTACCACTAAATTAGCACCATTTGTTTATTGTATGATAACCAAATCACGTGTAGATTAGTATTCCTTATGGTATAATATGCCTGCTGAACAGTGCACATATAACAGGGACAAATTGCTCTTCTTTATCTTAACAAGGATGGTAGCTGTTGCCCACATGACGTTAGACCTACTTGAAATTAGTTCTAATTTGTTTATTTCTTGTTTGACTATAATCACTTGTAGGTTAGTATTCCTGGGGTCTGATATGTCTCTTCAGAGGTTCTAACGTGGCAAGGATAAATGGCTCTTCTTTATCTTAACAAGGGGGGTTGTCATCTATGTCATGCTAGACCTACTTAGAAATTGCCTCTAATTTATTCCTTATGTGACTGGAAAATCACTTGCTAGTATCATTTCTTATTGTCTTGTATCACTTGTATCTGCATAATGAAATCGAATGATGCTTTCTTATTTTTATTGGGATTTCAAGGTTTATGTGTGTTATGTTAGGTCCAGCTTTGTCACATTAGGTCTACCTGTTACCATTCCTCAGGGTCTAACATATCCCCTCGCATAACGAAGATGAATGGTTCCTTTATACGTTATCAAGCACAACAGCACTCATCCACGAAGAATCAGATGTACCACTAAATTAGCACCATTTGTTTATTGTATGATAACCAAATCACGTGTAGATTAGTATTCCTTATGGTATAATATGCCTGCTGAACAGTGCACATATAACAGGGACAAATTGCTCTTCTTTATCTTAACAAGGATGGTAGCTGTTGCCCACATGACGTTAGACCTACTTGAAATTAGTTCTAATTTGTTTATTTCTTGTTTGACTATAATCACTTGTAGGTTAGTATTCCTGGGGTCTGATATGTCTCTTCAGAGGTTCTAACGTGGCAAGGATAAATGGCTCTTCTTTATCTTAACAAGGGGGGTTGTCATCTATGTCATGCTAGACCTACTTAGAAATTGCCTCTAATTTATTCCTTATGTGACTGGAAAATCACTTGCTAGTATCATTTCTTATTGTCTTGTATCACTTGTATCTGCATAATGAAATCGAATGATGCTTTCTTATTTTTATTGGGATTTCAAGGTTTATGTGTGTTATGTTAGGTCCAGCTTTGTCATTAGGTTTAGCTCTGTCATATTAGGTCTAGCTTTGTCACATTAGGTCTAACTCTGTCATATTAGGTCATTTATGTCTAGCTCTCATTTGCTTCTAGTTTAGAAACTAATTACAATTTATTTATTGTTATTTTGAACATAAATTACTTTCATTGTACATTAACACACTCTATTGTACATTAAGGTCTAATATCCCCAATGTCCACATGAATGGTATTTTCTTATTTTAATTAAAATTCCAACCATCATGTCATTTACATATCTGAAAACTAGCTCTAATTTATTTATATCCATTCTGAAAGCAAATTGTCAATACGTTCCTGTGACATAAATCCACAATATCCATAACAGAATGACTCGTCCACAGGACATTCATCTTCTCCACATGCAGCATCCATAAATATAACTATTGCTCCACTAAACGGCACACGTAGTCAAAGTCAGGTACCAGAAGTTGCCAACTGAAAGGTACCATTAAAATCAGAGTTATCCAAAGTCCGCTGCATTTATCTGCAAAGTGCAACGAAACGTGAAAGGACGCCTAATAGGTGAAACATGTCCTACCCAGCAGTTCACTATCGCCCCCGATATCTTTGGCAGGGTGCTCAAAAAAGAAGCAGAGGTCGAGCCAAGTTTGGATCGTCTCGGAATAATTGATCGAACTAATTGTATTCCTAGCGAGTTGGTCCGTCGACGTCTTAGGACAAGATCCATTAGGAGTCCTGGATGCAACGATTATGTCTACGAGCAAAGAGAGAGAGCATAAGGGGCAAGGATGCGAAAAAGAAGGAAAGAATAAGGAGTAAAAGTGGCAGGGCACATTGCCAGCCAACCAGCCATCCAGCAGACCCAATCTTTTTTAAACGCCCCCGCTCATTCATCGTGGCCAGACAGTCTCACGATTATAAAGCGCAAATCCTTTTATTCCGTCGTTTCGTTCCGCCTCTGCTCTTATTTTTTTGCCACCAGCTTCCGCCTTCTTCCTCTGGTCGCCACCCTCTTCTCCGCTTTCTATCCCGATCTTTGTCCTTCCATCCTCGCCGATATTGTTCTCACTCGTGGAAAGAGAGACTATTTTATTATCCAATTACTCTCATGAAGCTTCGCAAAAAATGCCGGCTTCGTTTGCTATGGGGGGTGCAAAACGTTAGCCACTTAATTAGCAGTCCACTGACAGATTTCGATGCCATGTGAGGTGGATGTGGCAGCAGGTTTAGATGTTTCAGACTGGAGTTACTTGGTTACTGCTTCATGTTTCTTTTCTATGAAGTAAGGTGATAATAGCTTGAAGAAACATTGGGTCAAACGTAACAACAGTTCTAACGGTTGGATTCCAACCAGGTGATGTACGATGCATGATACTTTATGGTACCGATGTCGATCCACGAGTTGAAGCGTGGAGAGGCTGACGTGTGGAGCTACGGCACAATTGGTCAGAATAGAAAAATGGACTCCACACGTACCTGGTCGCACGGGCCAACTCATAGGTTGACATCTGTATATGGATTATACCTGGTGTTGTGATTCGAGATGATATGACATTTAGGTTTTTTACAGATTCTAGCTTGTGTTGATGTTTGCTTATATGTTTGAGTTGTGTTGATGTTTGGGACCTACACTAGTTATGAAACACCCTGTGTACTTATAGTATAAATGCAACCAATTCAGTACAAATAAAAGCATTACAACTACAACAATTTCAGTATAAAACTAACAGCTAATTAGAGAAGGTACTATTATTTTTGAAGAACGCAGCCGATCAATTTCCCTGATCCTTATTTGGTACACCGATGGAACAACTGGTACAAACTATCATACTTGGTAATGTTTCCGCGGCATCGTACGGTCGTTCTCGATGAATTTCATATCGTTCCTCGAAGTGAACGTTGGCAGAATGGATTTTCTTGTTGCAAGGATAAAAAAAACGGGAAAAGTCGCGAACGTAAGGACTTAATTCAATAAACGATTCCCCTTGGCAACCGGCACGGCAGTCGTATCTATATACATATGTACGCATTAAGGAGGCTTCAGGAACGGGCAAAAAAAGCAGTTGGTACATTGCAAACTTCTGCCTGAGGGAAGTACATAATAAAAGAACAAGGGAAGGTTGGCCACAATGAATAATGGATAGACGAAATATGCTGAATCTCTAACGATATATGAAACGCCTTTCTCCTTTAGCATCGCGGTCTGTACAGTCAACAGCAAATCTGGTTTCTACAGGGAATATATTACGAATTGTTTAGGGATTTTTGGAGACGACTTTGAGATCAAGATTTAGAAATTTGGAGATATGAGGAATTGATAATCTACGAATTTTTTGTATTGAATAATATAAGAACAACATTAACAATAACATCAACAATGATATCAGCAATAACATCAACTACAACATGAAAAGCAACGTCAACAGCAACATCAACAATAACATCAACAACAACAACATCAAGAACAATATCAACAAATAATATCAACAACAACATCAACAACAATATCAACAACAACAGACACAACAACAATATAAGCAACAACAAGAGCAACAATAACAACATCAACAACAATATCAACAGCAACGTCAGCAACAACAGCAACAACAACAACATCAACAACAATATCAACAAATAATATCAACAACAACATCAACAACAATATCAACAACAACAGACACAACAACAATATAAGCAGCAACAAGAGCAACAACAACAACATCAACAACATCAACAACAATATCAACAGCAACATCAGCAACAACAGCAACAACAACAACATCAACAACAACATCAACAACAATATCAACAACAATATCAACAACAACATCAACAACAACATCAACAACAAGAACATCAACAATAATATCTACAACAACAACAGCAACAACAACAACAAGAGCAACAACAGTAACAACAAGAGCATCAACAAAAACATCAATAATAACGACAGCAACATCAAAAGCAAGAACAACAATATCAAAAACAGCAACAACAACAACATTAAAAGCAACAACAACAACAACGTCAATAACAGTCTTAACAACATCAACTGCAACAACAGCAACATCACTAGGTACAATTAATAGCAACATCAACGACATCAACTAACAACAACAAAATAAGAACAACAACAATAAAATAACCTAAACAATAATAATAAAAAAAAGACTAACAAAGATAAAATATAGATGAGAATAAAATAAGAAAATATAAGTTAATCAAGAGAATCAAAAAGCATGGGGAGAAAAATATCCCGGTATATAAAGCCGGCAGGATTAAAGGTAGGCAAAAACAAGTCCATTACCTTCTTGCTGGCAACGAAATTATTCGCAACGGCAGACACCCACACACACAAACAAATTCGAGGAAAAAAGTATCGTCGACGAGGCGTGAAATAATTACACCGTTATATGTAGAGGTATATACGTGCCGGTTAGAAATCGAACGCCGATGCAAAAATGATTTATCGGTCTTAACTGCACGTCCAGGCTTCGATACACTTGCCATCGAGCGAACGTTTCTCTCGGCGATGGCAATTTTCATTGTTCGTCGGGGTTGCCATTGCGTATCGTGCGAATCCATGCCCATAGTAAATAACAAATGGGTCACGTCTACCGCGTAACCATGATCCATGGAAGTAGCCGTGACGAGAGGGTGCACGATAATGTCATGCGTAAAGTGTGTGCTCGCGTAGTCGAAACCAGTGGAAAGTACACGCGTACAGCCATCACGATTTTTCTGATTTATGATTTTTAAAATAGGATATAATAGAATTTCGCTACGCTTGACATTGAACGTTATTTATTTCGATAGATATCGAGAAAGCTGACGGTCCCTTTTTGCGCGTACAGTCGACCATGGAAGTTTCAACTGTTTTAGCGAATGCGGGTTTTATACTTTATTACGTTTGTATTTTTCGAGGGAAGTGACACTGTACAAAATTAGTATATAGTGTAAAAAAATTATTTGAAGATTGTGCTGAAAAATTTCGGTTCAATAGGTGCATCAAAAGAAAAATTTCACACCCCCTAAAAAAAATTAAAAAAATGTTTTCAAAGTTGAAGATAAATAATGTAGACTTAATATTTTGCTCAAAACAATTTGGAAGTATTTTAATTTAATAAATAACGCAAAGAAAATTTTTCACCCCCTAAATTAGTATGTGATGTAAAAAAATAACCTTTTGTCATATGTGATGTCATATGTCATATGTTATATGAGATGTAAAAATGACATTTTACATGATATATATATAAGAATACATATCCATAACATATGTAGAAATATAATTCAAAGCCTTTGGTTAAAATTAATTACATAAAAATTAATTAAAATTATAAAATGACTTTTTTGTCATATGTGATGTCATATGTGACGTTATATGTCATATGTTATATGTGATGTAAAAATGACATTTTACATGAAATATAAAAAAGTACAATATGTATAATTTCGAAATATAATTCAAAGACTTTCATTACAATTAATTGCATAAAAATTAATTAAAATTATAAAATGACTTTTTTGTCATATGTGATGTCATATGTGACGTTATATATCATATGTCATATGTGACATTATATGTCATATATTATATATGATGTAAAAATGACATTTTACATGAAATATAAAAGAGTACATACCTATAATTTCAAAATATAATTCAAAGCCTTTGGTTACAATTAATAGCATAAAAATTAATTAAAATTATATTAAAATCACTTTTTCTCTTCTTCTTCTATGGTCAGTGTTTCATCACTGTTCACGAAGATTTATTATTAGAACGCACATGATATCATTATAAATTCTCGCCATTCTTTGACTTCGTTGCAGACAATTCGTAACAAAAAACGTGAATTTTTTTTGTAAAGCAATTTTAACCGAGTTGACGCTGGAAGAATAAATTGGACGAGGTTTTATCAAGCGACTAATATGTATATGTATGCACATAGACATAAAGGTAGAGAAGGGGTGCACGAAATAATGTCGTGAAATTCGTACAGAAGAGTGGCGATATCATATGTCATATGTGACATTATATGTCATATATTATATATGATGTAAAAATGACATTTTACATGAAATATAAAAGAGTACATATCTATAATTTCAAAATATAATTCAAAGCCTTTGGTTACAATTAATAGCATAAAAATTAATTAAAATTATATTAAAATCACTTTTTCTCTTCTTCTTCTATGGTCAGTGTTTCATCACTGTTCACGAAGATTTATTATTAGAACGCACATGATATCATTATAAATTCTCGCCATTCTTTGACTTCGTTGCAGACAATTCGTAACAAAAAACGTGAATTTTTTTTGTAAAGCAATTTTAACCGAGTTGACGCTGGAAGAATAAATTGGACGAGGTTTTATCAAGCGACTAATATGTATATGTATGCACATAGACATAAAGGTAGAGAAGGGGTGCACGAAATAATGTCGTGAAATTCGTACAGAAGAGTGGCGATATTATGTGTTCGCACCTAAAACGTTTATTTTAATTATTTCGAAGTGAGACTATTTTTTTTTAGCCTCTAAGTTCATTTCTGTCTTCAATCGTCTATCTTTTATACATAAAAGTGGTTTATGAATGAAATATCAAAGATATGATTTATGCGCAATGACCAAATCCTATTTTCCCAGATTTCTAAATCTCCAAATTTCCATTTTCCCAAATTTCTACATCTTCAAATCCCTATTGTGCCAAATTTCCAAATCTCCAAATTCCTACTTTCCCAAATATCTACTTTTCCAAATTTCTAAATCTCCAAATTCCTACTTTTCCAAATTTCTAAATCCCCAAATCCTTACTCTCCCAAATTTCTAAATCCCCAAATCCCTACTTTTCCACATTTCCAAATCCCCAAATCTCTACTCTCCCAAATTTCTAAATCCCCAAATTCCTATTTTCCCAAATTTCTAAATCTCCAAATCCCTACTTGTTCCTAAATCCATAGATCCTTAAATCCATAGATCCTTAAATCTCTAGATATAAATCCCTGGATCCCTAGATCCATAGATCCTTAGATAGCTAATTCTCTAAATCCTTAGATTCCTATATCCCTAGATTCCTAAATCCCTAGATCCGTAGATCCCTAGATTCCTAGATCCCTACATTCATAAATCCCTAAATCCCAAATTCCTTAGATCCCAAAATCCCTAGATCCCTAGATTTCTAAATCCCCAAATCCCTATTTCCCCAAATTTCTAAATCCCCAAGTCCCTAATCTCCCAAATTTCTAAATCCCCAAATTCCTATTTTCCCAAATTTCTAAATCTCCAAATCCCTATTTCCCCAAATTTCTAAATCCCCAAATCTCTATTTTCCCAAATTTCTAAATCCCCAAATCCCTATTTCCCCAAATTTCTAAATCCCCAAAAGTCCTATTTTCCCTCAAATCCCTATTTTTCCAAATTTCTAAATCCCCAAATCCCTATTTTTCCAAATTTCTAAATCCCCAAATCCCTATTTTTCCAAATTTCTAAATCCCCAAATCCCTATTTTTCCAAATTTCTAAATCCCCAAATCCCTATTTTTCCAAATTTCTAAATCCCCAAATCCCTATTTTTCCAAATTTCTAAATCCCCAAATCCCTATTTTTCCAAATTTCTAAATCCCCAAATCCCTACTTTCCCAAATTTCTAAATTCCCAAATCCCTACTCTCCCAAATGTCTAAATCCCCAAATCCCTATTTCCCCAAATTTCCAAATCCCCCAATCCCTACTGTCCCAAATTTCTAAATTCCCAAATTTCTTTTCCAAATTTCTACATTTCACTTTCCCAAATTCCTAATTTACCAAATGTCATATACTAATAAATAATACACGTTGCACATTAAATATTCACTACGTTACTAAAAACAATGTTTCTCAATGAAAATATCAGACGTACTTATACATTTTTTGTTTCTGTACCATTATTTCCTTTCACCATATTACAAGTTACATGGTGCAGCCGCTGAGTCTTAAAATATAAAAGAATCCTATCGACCTCCTTCTTCGGCAGCAGATTGCATCGAAAATTTAAAACTGGAGGGGTTTGGAAGACAATTTCGCCTTCACCATCGAATCCGAGTCGAATCGGATTTTATTAAAAATTTATGATCAGCTACATTTAACTATCATGTGTCTTCTAACTTTAATATATGTAGTTTTTATTTACATTTCTGTGTTATTAAATAACTGTTTATATAACCAAGAAAAACATTGAGAAATCATAAAAATTAATATTGACAAAATTCTTTAATATTTTACAATTTTAATTGAACAATTATGATTTTCATTGATAGTTTTTGACAATTTCAAAATAATATTTTTATAGAACAAAGTTTTGAATTCTTGAATTTTCGAATTTTTGAACTATCGAATTATTGAATTATACAATTATTGAATTATTCAATCATTGCATCATTGAATCATTGAATCACTGAATTAGTGAATTACTGAATTTTTGAATCACTGATTTATTGAACTATTGAGTTATTGAATTCTTGAATTCCTGAATTTTTGAATTTTTGAACTATCAAATTATTGAATTATTCAATCATTGCATCATTGAATCATTGAATCACTAAATTAATTAATTAGTGAATCACTGATTTATTGAACTATTGAGTTATTGAATTCTTGAATTTTCGAATTTTTGAACAATCAAATTATTGAATTATTCAATCATTGCATCATTGAATCATTGAATCACTGAATTAGTGGATTACTGAATTTTTGAATCACTGATTTATTGAACTATTGAGCTATTGAAGTCTTGAATTCACGAATTTTCGAATTTTTGAACTATCAAATTATTGAATTATGCAATCATTGCATCATTGAATCATTGAATCACTAAATTAATGAATTAGTGAATTTTTGAATTACTGATTTATTGAACCGTTGAATCCTCGAATACTTGAATTCTTGAATTCTTGAATTCTCAAATCTTCGAATTCTTGAATTCTCAAATCTTCGAATTCTTGAATTCTTGAACCCTCGAATTCTTGAATTCTTGAGTCCTCAAATTCTTGAATT